ATTTTATTTTATTTTATTTTATTTTATTTTATTTTATTTGTAATGTAACATGTATATATTTTATTAAATTCGTTTTTTAATATAATTTAATTTAAGTGTAAATAGTCATTCCAAATGACCAACAATGCCTTTCTCTTAGATAAAAAAGCTTTAGTTTTTACGAATTATAAACTCTAACTTTTGACATATTTTATCATTGTTTCACTTATTTGTGTTTATTTAATGTTACATTGATAGCTTAACTTATGCTGTATCTGTAATGTTAATGTTTTTTTAACAATTCATATGTGATAGTTTAATTTAGGCTATAAATATATATTTTATATGAACAGATTTTTATCTATTTTTTTATTTTTTACATTTTAGAATGGTCTATTTTTTTGTTTGTTTAATGTTACATTGATAGCTTGATTTAGCTTCATTTTTAATTATGATTTTTTTTGGTAAACAATCACATTCGATAGCTGAATTTAGGCTATAATTATATATATATATATATATTTTTTTTTTTTGTATAATGTCTGTTTTTGTTAATGTTACATTGATGGCTTAATTTAGGCCTAATCTGTAATTGTATTATAATGTTTCATGTGTAATGTTTATTGTTATTACTATTGTAATATTTAATGATTACATATAAATAACAATTTCCTTACATTTAAATAGTTATTCCAAATTACCTTCAATGCTTTCCGCTTGGATACGAAAGCTTTAGTTTCTGCGAATTGTAAACTCGATCTTTTGACATCTGAAAACTTGATATTTCATCCATTTTAATTTATTATTATTTGTTTTTAAAGAATAGAGCCTCATATCCTGTTTTCTATACACTACCGGTCAAACGTTTGGAATAATTATGTTGTTTTTTTTAGTGTTTTTGAAAAGGTCTCTCTCTTTTAATGCATTTATTTGATTAAAAATACAACAATGATATTGTAATAATATATTAATGTTTTTACTGTATTGTAATCAACTAAATGCAGCCTTGATCAGCATAAACAGACTTCTTAATTATTCCAAACTTGTATGTGTTGCAGTAATTTCACCGAGTCTAGCATGACTCCACCTTTACTCACTGAATACTCGCTTCTTATGCTCCGGTCTGCTGTTTTCTCCAGGGTAAGGCGCGTTTACGCAAAAGCGGCCGCCACACGCCCTCGCCGCCCTTAAGCCCTCGGGCCGAGAGGGAGGAGCCAGGTGAGGAGGGGGCGGAGCCTGGGCTGAGTGAGCAGCAGCAAGCAGCCATGCAGCAGGAGGAGAACGTTTTGACTCAGCAGATAGAAAACCTGCAGAAAGAGAAGTTAGTAAACACTTTTTGTGTCATGATTATCATTTGTGTCCCTGGAGTACAAGTCGCTGGGGGATATTTGTAGCAATAGCCAACAATACATTGCATGGGTCAAAATTATAGATTTTTCTTTTATGCCAAAAATCATTAGGATATTAAGTAAAGATCATGTTCCATGAAGATATTTTGTTAATGTCCTACCGTAAATATATCAAAACGTAATGTTTGATTAGTAATATGCATTGCTAAGAACTTCATTTGAACAACTTTAAAGATGATTTTCTCAATATTTAGATTTTTGTGCACCCTCAGATTCCAGATTTTCTAATAGTTGTGTCTCGAACCAAATGTTGTCCGATCCTAACAAACCATACATCAATGGAGAGCTATTTATTCAGATGATGCATAAATCTCAATTTCAAAAAATGGACCCTTATGACTGGTTTTGTGCTCCAGGGTCACATATATCGTCTAGATGTCTTACTGTCGTTATCGCTTCACTTCAGGGAAGAACTGACCTATGAGATGCTGGCTTTGGATCCCAGAGCGTCCGATGACGAGATGCTGGAGTCGGAAGCGTCTATCGGAACGGCAGACAGCTCGGAAAACCTCATGGAGTCGGAGGGTGCCGCGTCCGATCAATGGGGTAACAACGCTAATTTGTTTGCAAGAAGTAGTTTTAAAGGGATAGTTCACCCAAAAAGGAACATTTTATCATCATTTACTCGCCTTCATGTCGGTCCAAAACCCATAAGACTTTGGCTAGTCTTCAAATTAAGAGATTTAATTTGAACCTCCATCGAACGCTCAGGTAACCAAAACATAAATAAATAAATCCATATGAATCACGTGGCTTAAAACAACTCTTGTGAAGACATTCGATCACTTTACAGACCTTATTTATGTAGACACCATATTGAATTTAGGATGAACACGAGGATGTGAGGTATAAACCTACAGTCTTTACTAGGGTTGGGTGTCGAGAACCGGTTCCATTTTAGAACCGGTTCCAAATGTCCAATAATCGGGTATTCGCTAAGACATGTGCATTTCAATTCCGCTTAACGATCCCCGCGTT